ACAGGGAGCTGGACAGGAAGAGGAATGACCAGGGCAGAATCTGGTGCCCCGACCGGGACTAGAACCTGGTATGCCAGCGCCACAGGCGGGGGATTAGCTTGTTGAGCCGCGCCGGCCCACTCCCAAACTATTTATCCTGTTTCTTTCTCCAACATTTGTAGTTCTTATCAACTGGCTTAATCATCCTGTACTCTCTTTGCTGCTATCATTTACCAACCTATTGGACACTCTCCTACAGTCATTAGACAGCTCCTTGCTCTAGATTTTCATCATCATCCCTCTTTGCAACGTCTGTGAATTCAACATCCTTGTAGGTGATTCCTTGCAACCCCAATGCTTGGCCTGTTGATTCTTTGACTTCTTCATTTCCAACAACTTTTTTCACAATTCCATGTTGTCCATTCCAGCAATAACACTCTGAACTTTGTCATCAATAACTGCTTTACATTCTAAATCTCTATTTCATACATCCCAGTTGTCAACTACCAGTCTATTTTTTCCCCAAGTAAACTTATTGTATTCTCGTTTACCTAATTAATACCATCAATCCAGTGTGGGCATTTGGCACAGTGGTGAAGATGCTGCTTGGGATGCCCATAACCCATACTGGAGTGCATGGGTTTAAGCTTCAGTTCTGCTTCTAATTCTAGCTTCTTGATAATGTGCACCCTAGGGAGCAGCAGGAGATGTGTCCCAAGTACTGGGATTCTTGCCCACGTGAGATTTGGACTGGGTTACTGCTCCTAAGGACTGGCCGAGCCATAGGTATTAAAGGCATCTGAGGAATGAACTAGCAGATGGACGATTTCTCTATCTCTGTCTTTAAAATAAAATGAAAATAAATTATTAAAAAGCCTTCAATCCATTAACCCTAATACTTAAAATAAATTCTGCTTCTACCATCATATCATTATCCGAGTCACCTGATATTGCATGTGGTGTAAAGAAGGAGATGATCAAAAGTATGATTTCACAAATCACATGGTTTACTGCTGAACAAAAAGCATTTTTCTTAGGTTCATAATGTTTAATTAGGGAACAGTATTATGACCAAACCTCACAGGGTAAATCCTATATAATTAATATATATTAGCACCTGTTGAGTGAGCTCTAAAAATTAAAGTCTAATTACTCAGGATGGAGGCAGGCCTCTGTGGAGAGTAGTCTAGGGGGTGGTGTTATGGCACAGCTGATTAAGCTGCAGCTTGTAATGCCAGCAACACATATCAGAGTGCTGATTTGTATCCCAGCTGCTCTGCTCCCAATCCAGTTCCCTGCCAACATATCTGAGAAAGAACAAATGATGGCGTGAGTACTTGGGCCCCTGCCACCCATGTAGGAGACCTGAATGAAGTTCCAGGCTCCTGGCTTCAGCCTGGCTCAGCCCCAGCCCTGGCTGTTGGAGTTATTTGAGGAGTGAGCCAGCAGATGGAAAATCTCTGTCACTCTGCCTTTCAAATAAGTAAATCTTAAACAAAAAGAAGAAAGTAAAGTCTAATTAAAGTGTGAGGTGCATTTTTATGCCAGGCAGAGTGGACAGTGAGAGAGAGAGACAGGTCTTCCTTTGCCGTTGGTTCACCCTCCAATGGTGGCCACAGCCGGCACATCATGCTGATCTGAAGGCGGGAGCCAGGTGCTTCTCCTGGTCTTCCTTGGGGTGCAGGGCCCAAGTACTTGGGCCATCCTCCACTGCCCTGAGCCACAGCAGAGAGCTGGCCTGGAAAAGGAGCAACCGGTGCAGAATCTGGCACCCCAACCAGGACTAGAACCCTGGATGCCAGCACCACAGGTAGAGGATTAGCTTATTGTGCCATGGCGCTGGCCTACACCAGCAGTTCTTAGCTTGACCACTACAGCAAATATCTGAGGTCCCTCCAGGCTAGAGGGTACTCTGGTCTTGTGGGATTTCCCTTTCTCAAGTTCTTAATGTTATTAATATACACTGACATTTTATTATCCTGTTTTACACAGGATTGGTTGTGAGCCAATTGCATGTTACCTCAAACAGAGCAGAATGAGTTATACTGAAAGTGATGCCCCAAGGGGCCAATGTGTAAAGCCACAGCCTGCCTAGCTGGCATTTCATAGAGCCTCTAGTTCGTGTCTTAGATGCTTTACTTCCTATCCAGATTCCTGCTAATGGCTTGAGAAAAGCATTGGAAGATGGCCCACGTACCCAGGCATCAGCCACCTACTTGGGAGACTCAGATGAAGCTCCTGGCTTCTGCCTAACCCAGCTCTGGCTGTTGTGGCCATTTGGGGAGTGAACCAGTGGATAGAAGACCTTTCTCTGTCTCTGTCCCTTTTTTTTGTAACTTTGCCTCTCAAATAAATAAATATTTTAAAAATAAATCTTAAAATATTTGAATGTACTTTATCAATCCTCTTAGGAAACCGTGAGGTTAAATGAGATCTTGAGCCAGAGTTCTCAAACCTTAACTTGGTTCAAAATCTGGCTGTGTCTTAACCCAGAGTTTTTGGAGTCTGGGGTGGAGCCTGAAAATTTGCATTTGAAACTTGTTGCTTGGATACTGGTTCTGGAACCACTCTGGGTCATGTTTTACATTGTTTGTGAAGCCAGATTATGGTCACAGCTGTGAATAACTGTATTGCCTACAGGATAAAATTTAAATGAGCAGGAGCAGCATGGCATAGTGGGTAAAGCCACCGCCTGCAGTGCTGGCTTCCCATATGGGCACCGGTTCAAGTCCCAGCTACTCCACTTCTGATCCAGCTCTCTGCTATGGTCTAGGAAGGCAGCAGAAGATGGTTCAAGTCCTTGGGCCCCTGCACCCACGTGGGAGACCTGAAAGAAGCTCCTGGCTTTGGATCAGTACAGCTCCGGCTGTTGCGGCCAATTGGGAAGTGAACCAGCAGATGGAAGACCTCTCTCTCTCTCTGTGCCTCTCCTTCTCTCTGTGTGTAACTCTTTCAAGTAAATAAATAAATCTTAAAAAAAAAAATTTAAATGAGCTAGGAAGGTGCTCTACTTCTCTAGCTTTCTCTTTCTCTTTAGTCACATTGAGTAACTATAGTAGTAGTTCTCCAAGGAAACTGCATTACTGTATTAGTGTGTTTAGGGCTGTCATAACAAAATTAAACAATGCTTATATTTTCAGAGATCTGGAGGCTAGAAGTCTAAAATCAAGGTGCTAGCAGGGTTGTTTTCTGTTGAGACCTTGGTTCACAGATGTCTACCTTCTCACCATGTCCTCACATGGCCTTTCCTCTGTGTGCATTCATTTTTGGTGTCTGTTTCCAAGTGTCCTTTTAAAGTATGACACCATGCAGATTGGATCAAGACCCACCCTAATGGCCTCACGCCTACTTAATGACCTCTTTAAAGGCCCTATTTTACAAACACAGTCCCATTCTGAAGTACTAGTGGTTAGGGATTTAACAAAAGAATTTTGGGAGACATAATTCAACCCATAACAAGCTATCCCCTTTCTTTCCTCTGGCACCCTTGGCATATACAGCAATATGTATGAGAGGGCTTACTTAATCTTAGCTTAGACCAAGCATGGCATTTGTACAAAATTGTATTTTGGTGATGTAAACAGGTTGTATTAGCTTGTGATAGCCTCATACAAACCAAGGTAAAGTGTTTTAGCACCACCACACCACTCTGTTCATGCTTTCATGGCACTTATTCCAGTATGTGGTGATTTAACATTTCTCCTGCTATTCCAAATAGTCTATTTTCATTCACGGTATCATTCACCAACCTCAGTAATTAACATAGTATCAGGCTCATCATAGTTGGAGGCCTGCAAATAACTTGTTGAAATGAGTGGTCTGGTTTTTGTTTTCATTTCTTTGCAAAAATTTTATGTATTCTTTTAGATGATCAAATTCAATTCAACCAAACAAGAGAAGGAAGAATAAACAGTACCAAGTGAAAATAAAATATCCAGCTATACTGCTAGATTAGGAAATAATCAAAATACTGAGACAAATAATATCCAATAAAATTCTAAAAATATATCCAATAAAATTCTAAAAATATTCCTGATAGTCTAGTCATTCATTAGTTAACACATATTTGACATAAACCCTCAAGGCCCTATTCTGTATTAGTCTTGGAGCGCACATGGATGAATGAGTAAGCTTTGGTCTCTGCTATTGAGATTAATCGCCAAAAGTGGTATGTGACTTGTCACCACTCCTTGGATTGGTGAAAATATAATGAAGGCCAATGCCTTTCAGCAAGGCCTTTCAACAGCTGAGTCTGTTTTACTCCCAAACGTTAAAGAAGGAACTCTGGAGTCTGTCACCTAGCTTGGAATCCTGGGTGATCCCTGGCACGTCACTAGTCCTCTGCTTTGCCAGTTTCATCTGTTCAATCGAGATCTGTAAGTTACATGGTGTAGGGTTGTTTACAAGGCTGGGCACAGGGTAAGGGCTAGAACATGAAAACGACTACTACAATACTCAGAGTTGGAAATTAAACTCTACTAGCCTTCTAAAGGCATACGGCTAAAACTGTTTATGGGAAAACAGTCTATATAGACTATATAATTAGTACAGTCTATATAATTAGTAAACGAAGTCTACAATACACAGAAATAGTTTACTTCTCTATGCATTAGGCAGAGCTAATTGACTAAAAAAACAACCCTACAAGGCCCAACAAATGCCTTAAAACAGACCAAGGTTTACTATGAAAATACTTGGGCCAGGAAGTTCTAATTTAAACACTAAAAGCATTTTCGAAGAATGGCGGGAATTCACTTCTGTTAGGAGGTTGGCGGTTTAAATGTCAAAAAGGATCGTGACCCCGACGTGATTCGAACACGCAGCCTTCTGATCTGGAGTCAGACGCGCTACCGTTGCGCCACGAGGTCCTGCTGGGCTGTGGCTCGCGCAGTTTCTTAGGACTCGGATAAAATGGCGTTGTCTTCCGGGCCACTCCGCCTTTCCTCCCATTCGCTCCCTGCCCCTGCACTCAGCATGTGCCCGAGCCGGAGAGCGACCCTTCGGCGCCCAGCCTTTCCTGACGGCCAGCCCTCTACCTGGCCTGGGTCGTAACAACGGAGGGAGGACAGGGCTGCCCGTGCAAGCGGGGCCCCAGGGTCAGAGGAACCGGCCCTTCCTCTTCGGCGGCGGTTTCCGCTCTGCTCCGCCCCGCTCCCGCCCCGCGAGTGCGGAGACTCCGCCTCCCTCGCCCCTCCCCCCACGGGCCCGCGGGCGGAGTTCGCGACCTCGCGTTGTAATCTGGGCCGCCACCGCGCAGGCGCAGGCCCGTGCCAGATGGCGGCGGGCAGCCAACGCAGAGGCGTCCGAGGGCGTTGTGTTTTCCTCCCCTGCTACCAACAGTAGGAAGCGTTCTCATTCAGAGGCGGCTTTCGTTTCACAGTGAGCATTCAGGTTTAGAGTCGCCGTTGTGCACTGACAGAAGGTATTGTAGCATATTACAGTTGACGAGAACGTCTCATCGTTCAGTTACCCGAAAAATAGTAATGTGATGGCAAAAGTAAATCACCTCCCCGTCGGGGAATTGAACCCCGGTCTCCCGCGTGACAGGCGGGGATACTAACCACTATACTAACGAGGAGCTGCTGCTTGCTCCTCCCCCAGGTGTCCCTTCAGGGCTGCACCTGCCACCTGCAAACGTAAACATCCCAATTCCAGGCCCTCGCTGGTGCCATGGAGGCTTCCAGTCCGCTTCCAGTTTCAGGGCTGAATCGTGCGGCGCTCACCTCCCGGTAGTCGCCTGAGGGCTTCGTGTCACTTGGGGGCGGCACGGCTTCCCCCTCACAGAGCTGTGTTTCTCCGTGTGAGGACCGGCCGTCCACGGCTGAGGCCCGGGCAGCCGCTTCCCGCGCTTGCCGCCGCGCGCCCTGGCCCCGAGGCCTCCCGCGGACGTTTCCGGCTCGGGTGGCCCGGAGCCGGCCGCGGTCTCGGCAGCAGAACCGGCGGGAGTGCGGGAATGGATGAGTGACACTCGTCCTAAGTCAGCACCATCGGTTAAACACAGGGTTGGGAAAGCACAGTTAGAGGGGAATTTGTCGCCATCCTAAGCCTGTTTCATAGACAAGATCCAGGAGGCCTCCCGTGTGAACTTTTGTCGGTGTCTCTAGTGCGTGTATGTAGAGTCACAGGTAAACCAGCACGGTGGGACGGCCTCCCGCTAGACCTTACACTCGGGTGGCTCAAGGAAGCCCTTACTACAGTGTGCCGGGAATTGATGTATTTTTATACGTGGTCGGAGGTAGTCCTCACCTCAGTTTATTTAATGGAGATGTGAAACAGATGGCTATTTCTGAGGCTTGTTTAGGGTTTTTGTTTTTGTTTTTCCTTCTCTCTTAAATACACCAAAATCCTCGAACGATCCCTACAGAAACAACCCGTCAGTGCGCAGGGCCTCCTTCCACTTCTGGACCTTCCGTAAGTCTTGGGAGCTCCAAAGGGCACCGTGATAAATGTGATGGTGTCCTGTTTAGGTGTCAGGGACACACCCAGGTCTCTGAGGTGGCAGAGCTGCAGGGCAGTGAGAGTCTTGGGCTCCAGCATCACCGGTTTGCCTCCTTGCCTGGTGGTGAGCAAAAGACTTAATCCTTTGGTAAAGACTTTAATCCTTTGGTAAAGACCAGTCCCCCACCGAGGCTCTGGCAAAGCCAGGCGAGCAGTCACAGGGAGTTGAAAACTAGGAGGTAGTCTGAGTCAGCAGAGGCCCCTGAGCAGGGATCCCAGCACCTGCTGTCCACCTTCCTAAAATGGAAAGGAAGAGAGCGTAATTAACCCGGACAGGGTAAGGGCGCTGACATTCCTCACTGTCAGCATCCTGAAGAAGTAAAGGTTAAAAATGTTACTGGTAGCTCAGAGGGCAGCCAACCTTGCTTTTGGAAGTAAATAGCATGATGGCAGAAGTTGAAAGTTTCAAATCTTGCTCAGACTAAGTAACTTGTATAGCTTGTGACAGGTTGCAAAATGACCCACACTCATTTGTCTTCTCAACAGCCCGGTGAGGTCAATAGGGCAAGTGTTTTGAGCCTTGTTTTACACTCGGGTAAAAACAATCTTGTGCAAAATTGTACAGGTAGTGAGTAGTGAAAGATCCAGGTAGCACCAAGCTTTGACAGCAGATCCAGTGCAGTTTTAACCTTGATGCATAGTTCCATGAACTTGCTCGTGAACAAATCAACACATGCAGTAAAGAGAAAAAAACTTCATAAAGAGTATCAACATAGGTGTCCCTTATCCCTTTATTAATATTTACTAACCTCTAAGTTAGTAAGCAAGCACTGTAGCCGTTCATTCACTTATTATACCTACAAGGTGCTAGACAATGTTTTAGACGCAAGGGGAAGTTTTAATGGATAAATCTTGTCCTGTTGTATTTATATTCTGGCAGATGGAAGAAGACAATAGAAATGAACATAATAAATAAATAGTGATGAGTATAAATAGAAACAAAATAAAGTAAAGGAAGGGTGGCAAGTTAAACAGGATATCTGGGAGGCCTCATTCAAAAGGTAACAGTTAAGAAGAGTTGAAGGAACTAAGCCATACAATCATATAATCTTGGAGGGTTGTTGTGTCTAAGAGGTCATCACAAAACTTGGCTATTATTCTGAGGAAAATGAGGAGACAGAATGGTGATGTGGCTTACTTATGTTTTAAAGAGTCTCTTTATATATATGTAATTTTAAAAAAAGATTTTATGTATTTATTTGAGAGGTAGAGTTACAGACAGAGAGAGGGAAAGACAGAGAGAGGTCTTCCATTCATTGGTTCATTCCCCAAATGGCCACAATGGCCTGATCCAGGAGCCAGGAGCTTCTTCCTGGTCTCCCAGTAGGTGCTGGGGCCCAAGTGCCTGGACCATCTTCTACTGCTTTCCTAGGCCATGGCAGAGAGCTGGATAGGAAGAGGAGCAGCCGAGACTAGAACCGGTGCCCATATGGAACGCCAGTGCTACAGGTGGAGGATTAACCTACTGTGCCACAAAAGGTTCTGGAAGTCCTCCTTAAGCCTTTAAAAAAGAATATTTTTTTTTCTTTCACTGTATTTGAAAGGCAGAGAGATAGAGAGAGGTCTTAACTCCGCTGGTTCACTCCTCAGATGCCTGCAATAGCCAAGGCTGAGGCATACTGAAGCCAGGAGCCAGGAAATCAATCCTGGTCTCCTATGTAGCTGGCAGGGACACAACTACTTGAGCCATTACCTGCTGCATCTCAGGGTGTACATGAGCAGGAAACTGGAACTGAGAGTGGAGGCCAGGCACTCTGATGGGGGATAGAGGCATTCCAAGTGGCATCTTAACAGCTGCACCAAGCACCCAGTCCTAAGCGGACTTTGGTTACTGAGTTGAGAGTAGACTTCAGGGAGGCAAGTTCAGAGGCAGGGAGACCAATGAAGTCTATTGTAATAATTTGTGTGGCAGATAATGGTTTCAGGATGAAGTGAGAGTGTGGAGAAGGTGAAAAGAGCTGACTTATTGTATTTTGAAGGTAGAGCCAATAGCATTTCTTGATGGAGTAAGTGTGAAGTAAAGAGTGAAAAAGAGGAATGATACGTGTTTCCGTTTTTTGACCTGAGCAACTGGAAGAATGGAGTTGTCATCAGTGAATGGAAAAGAATAATGCATGTCAGTGTGCCCCACTCATGTCCATAGTTCCTGTAAAGGGCACAATTGGGGAGTTCATTCACATGGACTGCCCTGTGGATAGTGCTCCTGGGAATTGTGCAGCATTGCAGCTCTGCATGAGGAGTGATAATGGGAGAGGGGGAAGTTGATCAGCATTTCAGTCTTAAATATGTTAAGGGTAGAGACGTGGAGTAGTCAGTTGAATATAATGGTTGAATGCTTACTGTGTAGGTCAAACACAGTACCAGGTGCTGGAGATGCAATGATGAACAAAGACCCTGATCTCAAGAGCCTTTTATATTATTAATTCAAGAATGACACAAAAAATATAAAATTACAACCATAAAATGCAAGGTCTCCAGGCTGTGTTAAGACTTACAACCATAAAGTACATAAAATGCAAGGTCTCCCAGACTGTGTTAAAAATTTTGGGGGGCAGTGGGCAGCGCTGTGGCACTGTGGGTTAACGCCCTCGCCTGAAGCACCGGCATCCCACATGGGTGCCGGTTCGATACCTGGCTGTGCTTCTTCCAATCCAGCTCTCTGCTATGACCTAGGAAAGCAGTGGAGGATCCCAAGTCCTTGGACCCCTGCATTCCTGGCTCCTGGCTTCGATCAGTGCAGCTCGGGCCATTGCGGCCTACTGGGGAGTGAACCAGCGGATGGAAGACCTCTCTTCTCTCTCTCTGCCTTTCCTCTGTGTAACTCTGACTTTCAAATGAATAAATCTAAAAAAAAGAAAAAGATTTTTTGGGGGGCCTGTTGTTTCTATACATTTATTACAATCTAATTACCTAAATATTTATTATTTTTAAGGATTTATTGAGGTATAATTTAAACAGAAAATTCACTTTTAGTACTATCATCTGGAATTAAGCAGCAGACTATTTTCATCACCCTATCCCTTCCATCATAAAGTTTCCTGTGTCCCTTACATCAGTCTCGTTTCTCCAGCTCAAGGCAACATTGATCTAATTTTCATTTGCAGAATGTCATATTAATGGAATCATACAAAATTGAACCATTTAAGTATAGTTGCTTTAATTTAGCATGCTTTTGAAACTCATCCATGGTGTTCTGTATATCATTTTCTAAAACTGCTGATTAGTTAGTATTCCATTGTTTAGTTGTTTATTTGTTTACCATTCACCTGTTGATGGACATTTGGGTGGTTTCTAGTGTTTTTATTTTTTTAGATTTATTTATTTACTTGAAAGAGTTACACACAGAGAGAAGGAGTGGCAGAGAGAGAGAGAGAGAGAGAGAGAAAGAGAGAGAGGTCCTCCATTCATTGGTTCACTCTCCAATTGCCCACAACGGCCGGAGCTGTGCCCCTCCGAAGCCAGGAGCCAGGAGCTTCTTCCAGGTCTCCCACCCGGGTGCAGGGGCCCAAGGACTTGGGCCATCTTCCACTGCTTTCCCAGGCCCCAGCAGAGAGCTGGATAGGAAGCAGAGCAGCCGGGACACGAACTGGTGCCCACATGGGATTCCAGCACTGCAGGCGGCTGCCCCACCTGCCACACCACAGCGCTGGCCCTGTTTTTTTTTTTTTTTTTTTTAAGAATAATGTTTTAAAAATTACTTTCCGTTTATTTATTTATTTAATTTGTTTGAGAAGAAGAGAGACCCAGAGCAAAAGGGGAGAGGGAGAGAGACGGTAAGTTTCCATCGGCTGGTCCATGCCACAAATGGCTAGAGCAAGGAATCAGTCTAGGTCTTCCACATGTGTGACAGGGACCCAAGTTCCTTTTTTTTTTTTTTTTTGACAGGCAGAGTGGACAGTGAGAGAGAGAGACAGAGAGAAAGGGTTTCCTTTTTCCGTTGGTTCACCCCCAATGGCCGCTGCGGCTGGCGTGCTGCGGCCAGCGCACCGCACTGATCCAAAGGCAGGAGCCAGGTGCTTCTCCTGGTCTCCCATGCGGGTGCAGGGCCCAAGGACTTGGGCCATCCTCCACTGCTTTCCCAGGCCACAGCAGAGAGCTGGACTGGTAGAGAGGAGCAACTGGGAAAGAATCCGGCGCCCTGACCGGAACTAGAACCTGGTGTGCCAGTGCCGGATTAGCCTAGTGAGCCATGGCGCCGGCCTTGAACTGAGTAATTCTAATAGATAATTTAGTGAGAGCTCAAATTTTTTTTTTTTAAATTATTTATTGGGGTGGGTGTTGTGCATCAGGTTAAATCACTGCTTGGGGCAATCACATCCCACATAGGAGTACCTGGCTTCGAGTCCTGTCTCTGCTTCCTATTCAGCTTCTTGTGATTGTGTACTCTGAGAGGCAGCAGATAAGGCTCAAGTACTTGGGTCCCTGACAGCTATGTGGGAGATCTAAACGCAGTTCCTGACTCCCAATTTGGTCTGGCCTAACCTTGAATGTTGAAGATATTAGGAGAGTGAACCCTAGTGAAGCCAGGAGCCAGGAACTCAATCTAGGTCTCCCACATGGATGGCAGGGACCAAACTACTTGGGTCATTACTACTGCCTCCCAGGATTTGCACTGGCAGGAGGTTGG